GGGCAGATTACTCTTGTTAAAGTGGGGTCCCCATAGGAAAGACTATTTCCCTTTCAGAAGAATGTCCTCGTAGCTGATATATGCTGGAGCTGACAGACAACAGAGACTACTCAGCGGGTTGTTGCCAGATTGTGAGATCATTAGCTAAAAGTAGACATGAGTGGACTCCATTAAATGAAGAATGCTGACAGAGTGTACATTGTAGATGCAGCAGCAGACAGGAAATTTTAGAATTATGTCAAATTTAATACAGTATCTGAGTAACCTTTTTTATGAAGTATTTTATGAATTTGGCATTGCTGAATGTTTTTATTGTAGAAACAGTTATAGATTTTTGGGAAGGATACAAATGAAATTATGAGTAGAAATTAGTTAATAAATTAACCATTTTCCAAAGAAATGAAAGCAGATTAAAAAAAAATAAAAAATTCAAGACGTTTTCCAAGGTAAGACTGAAAAAGTATCATTCATCAGTAAACCCACTACGTGCTAGGTTGATAAGCAAATGCACATATTCAGAGGTAAACATGCTGTGCAAGGGCATGTGAGTGCATGCACACACCGTGCATAAATAAACAACTTCTCTCCCTTTCAGATACACACAGTCGCGCGCATACACACCATCGGACTGCAACTTTGCCTGTCTCATGAAGTGTATTTCACTCTAACAATTATTAACAAGATTCACGGGAATGAGCAAAACAGTTGACAGAAAGGCTCCAGAGTTTTCAGAATTGCCATTTGGTCTGGCCTATCCAAGCGAGTGTGTTGTTTGTATGCGTGTGTGTGTGTGTGCGTGCACGAGGGGGGTGGGGAAGGGGATGGCTGCGTTGTGTTTCCTGTGTCGCAGTTTACTGTTTTTTAGAGCAAGAAAAATGGGCTTATGTAACGGTCATGTGATTTAGCCAGAAATAGTGGTGGGGCTACAGCTGCTGCCTCTCCTCCTGCAGCTCGGTTCCTTGGCTTTTGGCAGCAGCCAGACAGACACACTGCGCACTACTCCTGCTAGCTCTGAAAACAACTTCTGCTCAGTCCTACACACAAATACAAATACTGTACTGTAGATGCAACAAAGGCAATGCACAGAATGTACATGTTTGAGCAAACTCCACGCAAAACGCACTTGTGCTTTCATGCTAAAACACAAGTTTATATCAGAAATCTCAGATACTTTTAAATAAATAAACAATACAAGATGAACATGCAAGAAATTATGCACTGACATGCGAACAAAACAAAATGTGCATGCATACAACTGTATATTCAATCTGACACGTACCCACAGTTTTAATATCAACCCTAAAAGAGCTAAGCCATGTACTGGGGTCAATGGGGTCACTACACCACACTATACCACTCCATCTGGGTTGTGTTGTGATTTCCATGTGTGTGTATTTGTTTGTGAAAGCAGATATTTGTTTTTTTTTTTTTTTAAATTGCCAAGTGGAGCAGCTTTGGTTGTGTGCGTGCATGTGTGTGCGTGCATACGTGCGTGTGTGAGTGTGTGTATGTGAGTGAGAGAATGAATGACTGTACGTGTACGTGTGCACGAGCATGAGCCTGCCTGTGTGTGGGCGTATGGCGCTCAGAGGCTGGCGGACGTGTGGAAAAAGGGAAAAAAGAGGGATGGAGATGCAGGCGTAGAGAAGGAGAAGAGTGGAGGAGGAGAGGAGCTGTACAGTGAAGAACTAGTGAAGCGGAAGGAAGCGCTCTGAAATGGGAGATCATTGGGTTTAGCTAAGGGCTAGGCAGGAGGCAGGAGGGATTCTCGCCATGTTAGCATCACTGTCAGGAATAGACTAGCTGCAGCCAGTGTCCTGGTTCCAGCGAATATTAATACCCACATGCCATATACTGTAAAATACACCATTAGTCATGCGTTGTAGATTTTGAGAGCAGAATAATCCCAATTTCAATCATTTTCACAGTGATAATCATGAAATGTAGATCTCTGATATTGCCAGACATTTCACTGGTTTCTGTGTTGACCTACATTACAAACAGTCACCGATAGAGATTCTACTGCAGAATCAGACGTTTACTTCTCTTCATGTAATCAAATGTATACAAATATTATTCAGTATTGCATAAGTCAACCTCTTTTTCTGCCCTTTTTTTTATTATCTTTGCAGTACATAAATTTGAAAATATCACTGCTGTTCTATGTCAAGCTGCATGTACCGTTCACCATCGTTCTGACACTGTGTCTTGTCTTTCTGTAGGTCAGCACAACTACCTGTGTGCCGGTAGAAATGACTGTATCATTGACAAGATCCGAAGGAAAAACTGTCCGGCGTGTCGTGTACGGAAGTGTCTCCAGGCCGGGATGAACCTAGGAGGTGAGGAGTCACACCCTCATTACAGATTCGCCCTGTCACGTGTCTCAGATGTGACATTTGAGTCAGCCTGGCTCTGCTTATAAGAAATTATAGATATGGAAAAGTAGGTCTGGCTGCAGTCACAGGAGGCCCAAGGATGCTGAGTCATAGGATGTTTGTGTGTATTTGTGCACATATAGTATATCTGAGCACAATATGCATAATGCATCTACAGAAGGTGTAGATCTACAGTACTCTATACGATGGAAGCTGACAAAGCCTGCAGACAAGTGTCCGTATTGTGATATGAGGGTTGATGTATTCATATATTCCAATTCAGGACCACAATGGCAAGGTTAAACCAAACAAGGCTAAAAAACAATCTTGATAAAGTTATTGAAATTACAAATAATTTTCAATGTTATGCCTTCCAAGGAAGCTAAATTTAAACATGAATGTAAGTGTATATATACATTTAATTTACAGTTTTGTAAATACTGTCAGATTACTTTAGAAAACAAAGGTGGCCAGAGGGAAGACACACACATTCAGCTCATACAGAGTGTCGCCCGAGCTGTCTGCTTCATGCTTTTTTAATAATTAGTTGGGAGTAAATTAATCTAAAGTGAAGTCTCTGCAAATTCAAATGATATATAGAATAGCAGTGGGAAGAGGAGTTAATGATTGCCTACGGAAAGGTGCTTATAGTATTAAAAAAAAAGCAACATGGATATTTCAGACTAGCTCTACTGTGCACTGTAATTTCAAAGCAAGATTCCTTGAAATGCTTGAAATGAACCATTCACTCAAATGACTGTAAAGTTGTTTTTCTTAATGATCATCACCTAATTTCATACCTGTTATTACCCTTTGGCATATGAGACTTCTGTCATTAAACACTTTTAGCAGTTTTGTCTATTCAGATATGCAATGAGATGACGGTGTAAAAGCTGTGAATACTGAATATTTTAATCCTAGGGGTTATTTCAGTACCTTGGACAGATTCTGTGACTTGTCTGAAGTAAAAGATATAGGCTACTGGTTTATGAAAACTCTGCCATTTGGAAATGCATGACTACTGTCAGCTGTCATGTCAAATCAAGTTTATTTGCACAGCCCAAGATCACATAAAAGATCTAAATGGGCTTTATAGGCCCGTAATAGCAGTGGCTCCCAACCGAGCTCAAGCTCTCTGCGTCTGGAGTCCTTGGTGAACTTAGCAATGGTTTATTAATTGGCTGCAGGAATAAGGATCTAATGTTTTATTTTCCCTCAGAAGACTTGATGCAATAACATGGATGAGCTTAATTAAATAAGAAAATAATTCAAACACATGCACAGTTAAGTATGTGAGAATGATGTTGACAGACGTAGACACAAAATAAACACATTCAATTAATGTTTTGTTTTTAAAACATGGAAGGACTATCATTATCAGTACCAGTATGTTTTTTATTTAAATGAATTTCTAGGAGAGCAGTTAGAGAGCAGTGCTTAGTTATTGTCAACAATCATATAAATTACACTAAGAGTGTAACCACTTAAAATGAAATACTCACAATGAGGGCAAAAATGACTAACTACTAAAATTCCAGTGGTGAGGATTTTCTTGTTTACATAGTGAATGTTACAGCTAACAGATAACAAATGTTTTATCCTGGAACCAATCCGAACCTCAGATAGTACGATATAAAATAAATAAATGGGCTCTGATTGTGAAAATCAATTCCAGAAAAGCACTTTATGATGCATTTTTCTACACTGTGAATGTGTGAACACTTATTTTTTATGGCCCATTTGACTTGCTTGTATATATTTCTGTCAAAAAAAAACAAATGAGGAAATGATGTATTATTGACAGAGTCCATTTTTCTTTTAGCTTTAAAATCGCTCTCCACAAGCATACACAGTGTTCATGCACAGACTTGACAGTTAATAAACTCACTCACAGGGGAATAAGAGCCTACAGGTGGGTGCTGAGATGAAGGTGGGTCAAACAAAATACTATATGAGCAGCAGCAGCGATGTTGAGGGGGTGTTTGGAGCAGTATATACATGTAGCTGAGGGGTTAAAGGAGATGTGCTGCAGCAGCAGAGCAGAGCAGAAGAGTCAGCTTAAATAGACCACCATGTGTCACTCAATCACTCATGTATAACCCTGTCACTCCCCTAAAACATACACCAAGCTTAGCACAGAAGAGAAAACTGTGAAAACCATATTACAGAGCCTCACATCAGCCGTACACAAAAATCTAAGTGGACCCTCTAGCATTGCACCTCCAACAGCCGGGGGTTTTATACTACACTGAAATGGATCCTTTTAAACCCAACAATCCACCATGTGTCAATCATATATAGACACATCAGTTTAGCAGCAGATAATTATTAACTTAAGCATATTGCAAGCACAAAAACATGACTTAGAGTAAACAAATATCTTTCCAGTGAAATGTTATGTAGTGTTGAAAAGCAGCAGATGACCATGAGTCATGAATAAAAGCTTAAGGTTGCCAGTGAGTGTGGCTGTATGTTTGAATAGCAGCAGTGTAACCCATTGAATGGGGGCTCAGCTGTTTAGACGCAGTTTCGATGTGAAGACGAGTAAAGAAAGCTGTCAGAGTTCCAAAGGTAAAGAATGAAACTATTTCTGTAATGTCAGCCAAATATCAACTACAGTGGAGAAAAGTGAGTGACAACCAACCCTGGTTTGCATATATTAAGGGGAAAATAATTTCATGAATATACCCTTTTCACAGCAGGCATTTTGATATGAAATAGTAGGGTACACATAGGTGTTATGAATGAATGAATGATACTAATGGAGGCTCCATTTAATTTAGTGAAGCAGAGCCAACATGCATAATAGCAGCTCACTGACCTGAATGGAACATATCCTTAATTTAAAGCCGTAGAGCTAAGCGCAAGGTGTCATTATCAGAAAACTGTGAAAGATGCTAAAAGAAAACATTTCTCGGATATTATCCTGTCAAACTGTCACAAGCCTCGTGTTTTGTTTAACACTATTGACTCACTTCTGAATGCCCCGCAGACTGCCTGTATGGAGGCGTCCCCTGCTGTGTGTGAAAACTTCCTTCACTTTTT